CACCAAGGATGCTCCCTCCACCCTATCCCATTCTGACTCTCTCTTCTAAAAAATGACAACCAAAACAAACCACCTCAAGCCATGCAACTTGTACCACCTCACACGACCTCCATTTCTCAAATTTTGTTCCAAGACCACAAACCAAGTTTAACCCTAGTGAAAAGTTGTTTTAACTACACCATAGCCATCATATATAAACTAAAAGAAACCCTAGAAGCAGGACAACTTCATATCTGCAGCCAAAGCGAAGATAAACTCTTTCTCACTCTCAAAACTTTATTTCTTTGAATCTCATCCCTCAAAGCTTGTTTCTTCATTTTCCTATCACCATCATCATCCTTTGAGTTGTGAGAAGCAAAAGGAGAGGATTAATGAATCTTTAAGCAAGGACCAGAAGCCATAGAACTCTTCATCTTTGGTAACCTTTCTTCAACTTGGTTCTCTCATGTTACACGTGTTATGTGTTTTTTTTTTCCATATTTGGGGTTCTGAGATGATTTAGAACATGTTTGGGCTATTTTTGTTCTTGTTTGTGCAAGTTTAAGATTGAACATAATTTTTTTCGTGGTCATTTTTAATGGTGTTAGAGGTTTCAAAAACTAAAACTAATGTCATATATGGATTCTATGTGAAAATCTGAGTGGAAAGGAGGACGATTTTGGGAGTCTTGGTGAGGTTTTCAGGCAACTCCAGCGAAGGCCGCCGGAGAAGACAACCGGAGCCCTAACTCTGGCGTTTGGCCTTCTGCCTGTGTGTCACGTTTGACCCAGGTCAATGATTGTGTGGCGCTGAGGTGTTGCCACCTCAATTAATAAGCATCACGTGTGGCACATTTTTTGTTTGCTATCTGAACTTTTAATTCTTGGGCCTTCCATAATTTATATCCACACCCCCACATTTTCAGGCCCAACGCGCCATAACTACTCTTTAGTTCATTTCAGTTTCACTAATGCAACCCCTTGCTTTTCTTGCTTTTTTATTATTTCTTTCCATTTTATGTTTTGATTTTATTTTAAATAATAAAATTATTTTTAAAAATCCACAAAAATATATTTTGAATACTTAAATGTCTCAAGAATTATATTTTATTTATTTGTGAAGGTGGTTTTACTAAACTACCCTTGAACAAGGGTGTTGGTTTTTGATGCTTTGAGTACACTTCCTTGATCCCATCTTTTGACACATGTTTACGTGAGGTTTGAGTAATTTTTTCATGCTTTGATGGTGCTTGTTTGCTCTCTTTTCATTTTATTTTTATGGAGCCTCGATTTATGCTCGATTAGTAAGGTATCTTGAACTTGTTGGTTGGTTTTGTTTGAGCATTTGTGCTATTCTTTTGAGGATATTTTCCTCACATATTCTTGGACATATTGCAATGAGTTAGAGCCTTTAACTTGCTTTTGTTTGATCTTTTTTATATTTTTTATTGATGCCTCAAGTTAGGTTTGTTTTGACCATGATCTTGGTTGCTTTGTGACCTAGTTTTTGGATATGCTTCTTGTGTGAACCTCTTTGATGCTTGGTATTCCTATTTGACTTGAATACTATGTTTGAGCTTCTGACTTTCATTGTTTCAATGTGTATTGTTTTCCCATTAATTTTAAAATGTTTTTGCTTTCTGATCCTATCTTTAATTTTAACAATTAAGTTTATTTGGATTTTAGCTTCTCTCGTATTTTCTTTTGGAATCTCCCAATGCTCAGATAATGAAGCGCTATATCTTAGAACGCTTGTTTATTTAATTTTAAGTTGTGTTTCAGTTGCATTCCTGATCAAAATCATTGGAGTGATGTCTCGTAATTGTCATTATCATTATCATAAGGATAAAGTTAATAGTTTATTTCAGTTTCTTCTGTTGAAACATAACTAATAAGAATAAGGTTTCTAAAGTATTGTTCATGTGTTTCAGGATTTTTGCTACCATGCGAATACAATTTTCTTGGTTTACCTTCGGTTTTATCAAAAGAATGAAAAGCTTTTTCTAGTTTGCTTCTCATTTCTTGAGGTGAGTGTTTTACCGTAATTTGACATCTTAGAAGACGAGCGGTTAATCAGCCGATTTTGCGCCTTATTTAAGTGCTTCTGTTGCAGGGGCCTTTAGCACGGGCTTTGATTGTTTGCCGTTGCCGTTTGGTGTTCAGTTCTGTTGACAAAATCGTCAGTGTTCTTATCCATCTCTTACCTGGTATGTTATACCTACCATTTTTACTAGTTTTCTTTTTTAACAAGATAATAAGCTTTTGGAAAACCATTGGCTTCTATTATGACTTTATAGAGTTATATGCATTGAATGGTCAAATATTGGAAATATCTTATAAACAATTGCAAAAATGAAAAGTATTTTACTTAATGTGCTCAAGTTCTACTATCTTCATGATTTTTATTTTGAAATTTCATAGGATTCTAGTGTGGTATCTAGAATTAGCTTTAGCTTTAGCCTAGTGCCATAATGCATTAGTTTGTGATAGTTCTACTATCTTCATGATTTTTATTTTGAAATTTCATAGGATTCTAGTGTGGTATCTAGAATTAGCTTTAGCTTTAGCCTAGTGCCATAATGCATTAGTTTGTGTTCGTAATTCACATATATCTTTGTTATAGGAAGGAAGATTTAGTAACATTAATATTCAACAGATTCATGCTAGACAAGGAGATATAAACTTTAGTAGTCAAGTTCATATACTGGATCAACTTAGAAAATTGTTCAGTGATACTAGAAATAAGGTTTTTTTATCAGAAGACAATTTTGTAGAAAACGTTCCTTATTCTATCCATGTAAAGATGTGAGATGCGAGAATGTGCCTTATACGAAAAATAAAAGGCTAAATAGAAACATTGATGGACACCTCTGAGTTGAATTCTAAGTTAATTATGAGTTAAGATTGATAGTAAGGGTGGTTGCTAGTCGGTGTAGTCTGTGTCTTTATTTGTCGCATCACATAAGGATAAGTAATGATTCAAGTTTGGGGGTGTGATAACCCATATTTTGTGAGTTATTGTACAACCTAATCTCTTTTTTTAAGCTAGTAGATTTATCATTATATTTGTGTTTAAATGCATTATAGATGTTTTTGTAGTATTCAATTTAGAGCACAATAGGTGCTCTTTCTCGTAGTTTTGATGTGTTTGTGGCTTGGTTTTAAGTAGCGTTCTGATAAAGTCAGATTTGTAGAGTTGCCTAACTTTGATGCATTAACTACATTTAAGGTCAGATTTGAATTCTTTCTCACCTCTCTAAGTCTAATAATGACTTACCTTGCTGTCTTCCTATACCCATTTCAAATATACTTTTGGATTTGCTTGCTTTGGCAGGACCTTCTCACTAAACATGGAAATGTGGTCGCCAAATTTTTGACGGGTCACTATGATGAGGTTTGCGTCCTCCTTGGCATACTTATCTTATTTGAACATATCAAGGCAACACAAAATGCTGCTTGAGAAACAACTATGCTCATGCTTTTCTAATAGGACTTATTGTTCCCAGTTCTTTGATCAATACGAGAACCTCTTGACGTCTCCAAATCACGTCACACCGAGGCAGTCTATCAAGGTCAGTTCTGTTCTGCCATTAATTTTAATTTTTTTTCTTCTTTCTGATCATTATCTTTGATTTTAACAATTAAATTTATATGGATTTTAGCTTCTCTCGGATTTTCTTTGGGAATCGCCCAATGCTCAGATAATGAAGCGCTACATCTTAGAAGTTCTCTATTTAAAAGTCACGATGACATTGTAGACGGTATAACTCCTCTTAATCCTGCGTCATTGTGCGATATTCCTGTTTTTCCACGTGATTAATTAATATGCTTACATGGTTGAGCAGGATTCAAGTAAAAACATTCAGTTATCGGCTTTTCACATTTTCAAGGTGATTTTCCCGCTTCATGTTTTCAAGTTAATCGATCAACACATGTACATTTGGATCTTTGTTTTAATTACTTTTATTACATGTTTATCCAGATATTTGTCGCTAATCCTAATAAGCCTCGAGACGTGAGAAATATTCTCGGGAAGAACCAGGAGAAGCTGCTGGGCTTGCTTCATAACCTATCACTGGGAAAAAGGTTATTCTGTTTTTAGTTGATTCAAAACATGTATTTATGTAACCTATTTTTCTCGAGTTACTAATCTTGACTATTTTTTTGGTTTTATAAGTGCTTCTATTGCTAGATAAGCTCAAGTAAGTCAATTCATATAGGGCATTATTGTTAGGTAATTAAAAGGTTATTAACTTGCTGTTGACAGTGATGATTTTTTATATGCTTGGTAGTTTGTCGAAGTTGGAGATTCTAGTGAGTATTAAAACACCATCTCCGAGCTTGTTAATTTGCTTAATTCTTTATTGGATGCTGCTCTGTCTGATCCAGACATTGAACATAAAGAGAACAGTGCATTTGAAGCTCTGTCCGAGATCTATCAATACATCTGTTCTCCGTCCCTTGACCAGGTGAGTTAATTCTTAGTCATGTTTCATAATCATTTGACTGTCTCATAATATAGGTGTTTGGACACTTGTTCAACTTCAATAAGTGCTTGTTGTATATGGGTCTGATTGAATTGACTTATTTGTGTGTATCTATTGGGATAAGCACCTGTGAGGTTATATGGAAGATTTGATGCAACCATCTTATGACATGTCCATTAGCTGTTTTCAACTTATTCCGTTAAGCTTTCTAAGACAGATTATGAAAATACGCTCAAAGCAGTTTTTTTACTTGTCATAAACTATTTTTTATCAGCTCTTTTGATTACCTACTCAAGTGTCTGTGACCTTAGCCCGAATAAAATTATTTCAAACGCCCCCATAGTCTTAGAATATAGAAACCAAACAACACAGAGACACATCATTATTATTCGGAGCATGACTTCTTTCAATCTCACAGAATCATGTATGTTCTATTCAAGGGAGTGAGAAAGTGAAAATAAGAGTGCCTAATTGATTATTTGGTGATTTGACAGGAAATGTTGATGCTCTTTCTTTCAATCTCACAGAATCTTTCATGTTCTATTCAACAGTGTTTTACTCGTTTGGATCCCTCAGAAGTATTTTGTTTGCTTTTTGGTTGCAAAAAGTAAGTCAACTTTCCCTTAATTTTGATGTATTCTACTTTATGTATCTAATATTATCTTTTCATGATAGACAACACTTTATGCTCATTTATTGGAATTCGGATTCCCCGTTCTTAGGGATCCCGCATTCACGCATTTGGGACAACGGTAGCCTGATCAAGATATGACAGTCTAAAAAAACACAGATCTTAACCGAGCTTGAATCCACCGATGGTCAAAATGCGTGAATGCAAGGAATTATTTATTGCAGAGAGCCGGATCCGGTTTATTGAATTCAATTTCATAAGTCTGCAAGTAAACTTGTTTCCTTTCTAGGCATATAGCTCACCGAAGGATGACCCGGATCTCGGGGCAGAGGAAAAAAGGATCATACTAGAAGGCGGCGTATCAAAAGCGCCTGTTTCAGATATTTTTTTTCATGTTTTTAATACTCACTATGAAAAACAGGAAGTAAATAACAGGCCCTAATGGTTTGTTGATGTGAATTGCCTTAAAATATGGAATAAGAGCTCTTCGAAGGAAGTAAATAACAGTTCTTTTATCAATACGAACCTCTTGACATCTTCAAATTACGTCACACCGAGGCAGTCTATCAAGGTCAGTTCTGTTCTGCCATTAACTTTAAAATGTTTTTGCTTTCTGATCATATCTTTGATTTTAACAATTAAATTTATTTGGACTTTAGCTTCTCTCGGATTTTCTTTTGGAATCGCCCAATGCTCAGATAATGAAGCGCTACATCTTAGAAGTTCGCTATTTGAAAGTCATGATGACATTGTTGACGGTATAACTCCTCTTAATCCTGCGTCATTGTACGATATTCCTGTTTTTCCACGCGATTAAGTAATATGCTTACATGGTTGTTCACATTTTCAAGGTAATTTTCCCGCTTCATGTTTTCAAGTTAATCGATCGACACATGTACATTTGGATCTTTGTTTTAATTACTTTTATTACATGTTTATCCAGGTTTTTGTCGCTAGTCCTAATAAGCCTCGAGACATGAGAAATATTCTCGGGAAGAACCAGGAGAAGCTGCTAGGCTTGCTTCATAACCTATCGCCGGGAAAAAGGTTATTCTGTTTTTAGTTGATTCAAAACATGTAGTTATGTAACCTATTTTTCTCGAGTTACTAATCTTGACTCTTTTTTTGGTTTTATAAGTGTTTCTATTGCTAGATAAGCTCAAATAAGTCAATTCATATAGGGCATTATTGTTAGGTAATTAAAAGGTTATTAACTTGCTGTTGACAGGGATGATTTTTTATATGCTTTGTAGTTTGTCGAAGTTGGAGATTCTAGTGAGCATTAAAACACCATCTCCGAGCTTGTTAATTTGTTTGATACTTTATTGGATGCTGCTCTGTCTTGAACTTGTTGGTTGGTTTTGTTTGAGCATTTGTGCTATTCTTTTGAGGATATTTTCCTCACATATTCTTGGACATATTGCAATTAGTTAGAGCCTTTAACTTGCATTTATTTGATCTTTTTTATATTTTTTATTGATGCCTCAAGTTAGATTTGTTTTGAACATGATCTTGGTTGGTCTGTGACCTAGTTTTTGGATATGCTTCTTGTGTGAACCTCTTTGATGCTTGGTATTCCTATTTGACTTGAATACTATGTTTGAGCTTCTGACTTTCATTGTTTCAATGTGTATTTCTTGCCCATTTGCCTTTCTTACTTGCGTTGAATCTTTGTTACCTTTGGTGGATGACATTGATGGATGCATGCTTAGTTGTTTGCTCTTATTTTGAATGTGATATTTGTTGAACTTTCTTGATATCATGGTGTTGTTTATGAGTTGAAATATTTGGTATTGCTACTGTCCCAGCTTGGTTTCATTCTTTGACCTTAATGTTTGATTCATCTTTAACTTTTTCTTATGAACTTATTGTTGACAAGTGTGTGACTCATGATTTGGTGCATGTTTGATGTTCTTGTGATCTTTTTTTGATCTTTTGAATGTGTTGAACATGATGTAGTGTAGCTACTGACTTGTTTGAGTTCTCATCTTATTTGGTTCATTTTGGGCTTTGTGTGCTAGATAAAGATGTTTGTTTGACACTTTAAGATACCAATGCTTGCATTACTTATTTGCCTTCATCTCTAACATGTTGTGTGTACTATTGGTGACTTGTTGCTTTCCTTCTTGAGTTGATTTAGTTACTTTAGAATTTGTTTTACATATGTGACATTCATTCATGCCTTTTTCTTGGTGCTCTTTTGATGTTGTTTATCTGTGTCTAATTCCAAAGGAAATGTTTCCTGTCTTGTTGACTTATTGTCATAAGTTAGTTTAGTCTTGCCTACCATTCCCTTGCGACCTTGTTAGAGTCTTTAGCTTTCCCATCCTAGCCTTAGGGTTAGAGTTTGTTAACTCTAGGAATGCTATGGTTATGAGTGATTCTCTTTCCCTCTTGACCTTGTTAGAGTCATTAGGTTTTTCAACTTAGACTTAGGATAGAGTTTGTAAACTCTATGTAAGTGTCATTGTTATAGACACTTGCCTCCCCCCTTGGAATCTTGATCACTATCAAGAGTTCCTCACTTCTAGTTAGGTGAACTAAGAATGCTATGATTCCATCTTTATTAGGATACGTAGGCACAAGACCGCGAAGTCTTGGCGAGCATACTTCCTTTAGGTCTTTCCCTTAGAACTTTCTCAAACAAACAATAGCAGATAATAACATAACACAAATACAAATAAGAGGTTCCTGTAGATAGTTTAAATATCAAACAAACCCAAATTTTTCCCACTTATGCAAAAGAATGATATGCTTATAGTTATGAATGAATGCAACTTTACTGGGGATGAATTTGTTATAAAGTATCATGTTTGATTGTTCTTTAAACGTTCTTCGTTGAAGGTAGACTTTCCTGTGGAATAAATGATCATGCTCAGCTTCTCTTGGCTGACAATAGACTCTTCTAGAGATTGAGATCTTCTACTACTCTCGTTTCTCGGATCTAACACAGAGAGATCTATGCCTTTTGCTGAAGATGAATACTTTGATATAACACAAAGAGATCTTCGTACTATCGGGAAACAAATGTTAGGCCTAAGACAAAGAGATATAAACAACCTTTTTGAAATCTTGAAGACCGATCTAACACACAAAGATCTTCACATTGTTGAAAATAATACTAAGATCTAACACAAAGAGAACACCGCCTTCTAAAAATGATGTTAAGATCTAACACAAAGAGATGTTCAAACTACTGAAGTTTGAATGTTCTGATCTAACACAAAGAGATCTTAGTACTGTCGGTAAGAAGCTTCTGATCTATCACAAAGAGATCATTGCCTTTGAAACAAGATTCTTAGATCTAACACAAAGAGATACTCGCTTCTGATAAGTTAAAAGCTCCGATCTAACATACAGAGGTTTTAGTACTGACGGGTATGATGCTTCAATCTAACACAAAGAGATCTTTATAATGAAAAGAGACTTCGATATAACAAAAAGAGATTGTCACATGTTGAAAAGGACGCTAAGATCTAACACAAAGATATCTTTACTTGAAAATGAAGTTCTAATATAACACAAAGAGATCATTACACTGCTAAAAGGTTTGATGCTAAGATCCACCACAAAGAGATCTTCATATTGCTAAAAATAGATAACTAAGATCTAACACAAAGAGATCTACGTGATAAAGAAAAATGATGCCAAAAAACTACCATAAATAGATCTCGACACTGCTGAAAATTGACGCTCTAATCTAACACAAGGAGATAATTAAACTGTTGAGATAAGTCTTCGATCTACCATAACGAGATCATTGATCTGCCGATAAGAAACATCAATCTAGCATACAGAGATCTTCCTTCTTGTTAAAAAATGATGCTAAGATCTAACACAGAGATCTTAGTACTGAAAAGACACTTTGACCTACCACAAAGAGAACATCGTCCTTAGAATGTTGTTTCAATCTAACACACAGATATCGTCACACTGTTGAATTATGTTGATTGTCGTATTCCCCAAGGCTGCTGCTTAGACCAAATGTAAATATTATCTTAGGAATGAGAAGATCCCGGAGATTTGCTGGGGAATGAAATGTTAATACTAACCATCATCGGACCGAATGATCCAATCCAATTTTTTCTTTGGAGAGTAAACCGGTAAGGAGCACTGACTTTTTCGAGAGTTTACTGAAGTAATTTGTTGAGGAATACAAAAGAATCTCTAGGAATAAACACACGTGGGACTTGTTGGAGATATGCTGAGAATCATTCAGTGGTACTTGTCTGTTGAGGAACTCTTGTCCGTTAGACTTGCTAGGGAGATTGCTAACTTAAGCTATCCTTGAATAGATTTAACGAGGACAAAAGCTGATGGGATGACCTTCCTAAGGAATCATGCTGATGTGAAACTCGTCTGGTGAGTTCATGAAATTTTGCTGGAGAAAATTCTAAAGGAAACTCTGTGGGGAGATATCTACTGGGGAACTAAGAAGAAATTTCATTGACACAAGAATTCAACTGGGGAATACCAATCACCTTGCTGGGGAAGAAACCCATCTTGAGAATCAACACTAATAGTTCTTCCTGAACTACTTGCAACTTATATTGAAGAAAAGAAATATTCTTCTCTCGAGAACTCTTGAATTTTGATTCTATTGAGGATTACACTGAACTTCTTTGAGAGGTTACTAAATCTGGATTGAGGTTTTATGCATGTATTCTCTATGCATGATATGTAAGAAAAATGAATGTATGAATGTAGTGGTTTATGCATTTTTTGGGTATCCAACTCTGATTCCCCAACACTTTTGGTCTTGAATAGTTTTGATACCATGAAGATGGTTTGCAAAACTCTGATTTCTGCTCTACCGCCTGATAGGCTTTAGTGGGGATCTTTGTCTATGGAAGAAACAACCATTTATAACTTCCTTCAAATCAAGATGATCAATGAGATGCTTCACACTTTAAGAACTTATCGTGCCCTAGTCTGTTGGGCCTTTGAAAAAAAACTTCCATTTGAAAAGGAATTTGACAGCTGTTTTTTCCAAAATATGACTTTAAAACAGCTTGCCCCAGTATTCTGAATCTTCATCAGTATACCCTTGATCGACCAAATTTTGGAATGGAAAGCTTCACTGTACTATGGAAATGGCCTGCCCTAGTATGAGTCTTTGGAGAGACCTACCGCATCTCAAAGTCATTGCCCCAGAATTACTGAATCTTGAAACAACTTGCACCAGGTTGACTGCTCTTTGGAATAATTTCCTTGATGCTAAGTATCAGTTTGGAAATAAAATAGTTCCTCTAAAAATGGTGATTCTAATGCAATACTCATGCAAATTTTGAAATCAATCATTTTTGAAATAAAGGTGATATACAATGAATGAATAACTTGTTTATTCAAAATACGAAAGACAATGGAATATGACACCAATATAAATGATTAGAAAATATCTAGGAGTCAGGTTAATGTAACCTTGCTTAGTATGCTTTCAAAAGGATACCTTGCTTCAATTTGATATTTTGAGGGTTTTAACGTGGTCTGATTCACAGTTTTTGAACAAAAGGATATAGGCTCAACGTTTTGATTTTAACCCACACCTTCTTCTTGATTATCTTCAGTCCTACATTCAGTCAATTTGACAAACGCATTCAAATTCTAAAAGAAATTTGATGGTGCGAACATGATGGCTTGAGAATCAATGATAGTCATTCATTTGAGGTGGCAGTCAACTATTTTGTTCGGTGATCACAAAGTTTGATTATGTCAGAAGTTTTTGTGACCCTTTTGGTTCTTGATATGATGGTCACCTATTTCATTTTTTTATTTCTTTTCTCTTTTTTCTTATTTTCTCTAAATTTTGCCTAGATTGTTTCTTTTGAAATCTCTGTCCACCAGGATGCTCTAATTTTTGGCTAAATCGCCTTCTTGGTGTTCGACTAAGCGGAATTTTTTCTTTTCCTTTGGTTATTGAAGAACAACCACTATACCTTTGGATTTTTCATGACTACTTCGACACTTTTTTTATGCCTATGAAGGAAAGCATGTGGCTACACCTCTAGGTGGTCGAAATGATTCTCTTGAGATTCACATGCATAGTCGAATTAACTGAGAACTACCCTGCCCCTAATTCAGATTAAGGATTTTTTTGTACCAAAAGAAACACCAACTTTTAGGCTCAAAGGGGTTAACGAGGGATTGACTTTCTTATATCTCTAGTGTTTGGGATTTGAAACAATGCCTTACACCATCAATGAAGTTTTATTTGAAAGCATACTTGTCAGCAATTTTGGGTATTTCGCTTTCG